TAAAATATATAAATATAAGCAATTAATGTAAATAGTAACAGAGTTCTATACTTGGGAGATAACTGCGTGTTAAACTCATCAACACGAATGCAGTAGATAATATATAATAACAGATATTATTAGTGTTAACAGGGTACGGCTGGCAGAATATAAAAGCAAATAAGGCTAGAACACAGTTTATCGTGTCTTCTGCCAAATCTGTCAAAAAAATCTCTGTGAAAAGTCATAGCTGATTCTATCACTCGTTTATTTAAAGTCTCGAAGGGCGAATCTGATTTCGAGCTGCTTTTTTATTTTATTTTGGCGGGGGGCGTTGTTTTTATAAAAGCCTGCATTCTAAGCATAACAGGATAAAACCTATTGGGAACAATGTTTTCTGAGTGAGAAAGGGATGAAAATCTTTTGCACTTCTATGCAAAGAATATCTAAGACTATTCATCACAGATCTATTTATGATAAAAGAGACGAAAACATCAACAAAACGTACGACACTATGTTAAACGTTAGAGAAAATGGTCTGAGATGTCCCTGGTCATAAGAAATCAAAGTGTGCCTTTCGAGCACAAACCACCTATCACTGTAACGTTTTGAAATTTGCTGCAAGCGAGCCTAGGTGATAACCAGCCTACGTCAATCTTTCTATGTTAACTTTCTTTAGCAAAGATAATTTAGCATTTGAAACCAAAAAATAGTAGAGAATGAAGTTAGTAACGTCAATGAATGGGCAAGACACGAATTCTGTTTCATGAAGAAAGGATAGTACTATTTCCTTGTGTCACTCGGGATGGTGGGGACGTCGCAGAAAATGATAAAGCAGAGGTACGTAAATTTGTTCCTTCCCTATTCCACTAGTAGATCGGTCATATTTGATTGGTTCCTCATAAATTCTGTCTTCTGAATTTTAAGTAAGAGGTTGAACTTCGTAAGTGTGCTGCATACGGAAACCGTAGTCTAAGTGAGCCCGTTCAGCAACCTTACCATTCGCCAGAACAATGCCATCTGCATACTCCAAGTAAGATTTATAGGGGAATGGCACAATAGCATTCATTTTGTAACTGATAATATCGTGAAGATCACACATTGGACACATCGTGTTACCTCAAAGAGTCTAAACTAACGGTCACAACAGAAAACGTCAAAGGCCAAATGCTATACCGCTACAGAACGGAATGAACAACGACCATCGATGCTAGGATTGCTCGAAACCGCGGAAGATAGCAAAACTATGAGCCACTCAATGAAATTAAACAGAAAAAGCACATACCGTATAAATGAAAATTCATAATTACAACGAAAAACTGTTTTATAAAAATAGCTTATATGCATCAGAATGAATGAAAAATGAAGCAGCGATTAAAGCAAAGCATCAATCAAAAACAACTAAAATTTGACTAATTTTAATAATTTCTTAATATCTTAGATTCGGCTGAGGGATAAATCACTTCGGATCAATAAATCTTTAAAAAGATAAACAATACACTACAAATCGAGCAACACATCGTCCACTGAGATATCGCCTTCCCGAATTTAAACGGTGTTATAACCTGACAATCAATTAGCGCAACAGTAGTCCTCGACAAAACAAGTTAATATGAAAGTGTACCATACTTTGATACAACAAGTGAAAACCAATCTTTTTCTAATGAACAGGTAACATTTTTTTAATACGCAGAGTCTACGAAGTAATGTGCAGAAATTTTATTTGATATTTTCAAATATAAAACAACAGCCGAGCCTTTATGCAGAACATTGGCTAAAAATTAAAAATTATAAGTGCTTTGGCGCAGCAGTGAATTTTGCAAAATCTCAATCTAAAATATAATTTTGGTCCATTAAATATAATGACCCAGTACTACTCATGAACTGAGCTCTGTTAGCATCATGCGATGCTGATGAACAATCACGTCAAAACATATGGAGTGTAACGCCGAAAATATTACCGTGATATACATTGTCGCTGCATCGAAAATTGTTGTAAAGATAGTACAATCTTCTGCAGCAACTTAATTGATTTGCATATTAATTTTTTCCTTGTAAGCGTTTGCACGGGGTGACAGAAGTTTGAAGGTGGATGTAGTCCTTTGTATTAAAATTTCATACACAGTTAACCTAAACAAATGCGGATTCAACATAGATCTGTGGTTAAATAAACTAAATCTGATAAATGAATGTTCGTGGCCACTGCATTCTGCGTAGCATAATTCGCAAAATCCGGTAGCTCATGGTGATAATTAATACGCAGGAGAGGCCAAGCTTGATTTATTTGTCGACTTTTGGGATGATGAGTTTAGCCACAACCGGGTATATTGGTAATACCGAATAACAAAATTTTAAAGATTTTTCTCAAGAGATTTATTGCCAATTATGAATTAACATGTATCGCATATATCTGAGTTCAAGTCATGCTAAATTGTGGAATTATATCAGTAACATTTAACTGGGGAATCAGATCGTTACTTCGACAATGCTGGAGGTCCAAGTTTGTAAAACAAAAATTCATAGTTTTCTCTCTGTATAATTCTAATAAATCCGAAGGAAAACATATAATATTGAGAAGCTTGGGGAATTAAACTCTCTTATTCTTACATTATAAATCATATTTTGCAGAAACAGTGCTGCATGCCGATAGCAAACCTTAACAACTCACGCGAGTGAACCTATTTTCTTGCGCAGAACGAATTATTATTTATTGAAAGAATTATCCTATTAGCACACCGATGGACCCTATTGAATTCATTTCATTTCTGGCTTATGTATACCTTGGCTGCAACCATACCAATTGAATTCAATTAAACAAAACTTTTATAAGCGTATATTCAGCTACTTAGATACTTAGCTGAATGCTACTTAGCGCATTTGTGCCTCTTTTCCAAAACTTCTAAGCTGTTCGAAGTAAACAACAGTAAAGCTAGATTAAAAATGACTCGTTTTGTAGTAATATCAATTGAATTATTAATTATGTAATTGTTTGATTAACGGTTTGACTGTTCATTAAAAAATTTCTTCATATTTATATATCGTACAACTCTCTGTAAATAACCGAGTACAACAGTTTTCATTGCAATTTTCCAGCATTCGAATTTTGTGGTAACAGGCGCTTGCTTTCAGTAGTAAACATATAGTTATATATGTCGGAAAAATTTTAGATAGCCTGAATCCAATTACACACTAACCGACAGCTGCACTCAAAGATTTCTGTATTGTAATTCACCAGTAAAAAAGGTTTGCATAAAAATTGTCACCCGTTAGTTGTTTCGGACAATCCAATATAGCATTAACATTTGAATTGCAAAGCGTTTTGCATATGTGCCATCCTTTAAAGTCTCTTTCCTTAATCCATTATGGATGTACCGACATACACGGATATTATGCTTATTAGATTTTTCCTGCTGCATAGTACATAGCATTTTACCTGGGTTCACAATAATTTCACTCTGTTGGAAGTCAGCTAGCTATATCATGTTAGTGGAGTTTCTTTTAATTTCATTATCTGAAATCTAAATGCATTGCAGCACAATTAATGTAATTTTACAATATTGGCAAATGTGATTTCGACTATTAGTAACCTTCCAATAAAATACGTCACTGTAACTCTTGTGCCGCGTCTGTCGTTTTTCTGAGGAATCTCCGTTTGCGCGATTTGTTCGTACGTTCTTGCTGATGGGCATTTAAAAAATTGTCTGGAATTGCATTTAATTTCCAGAACTTTTTAGATCTGGTTCAGAATTCATTTTTGGTGGATCCTTTGCAGTTGCCAAAATGGTAAACATTTGCCGTATGCATCTGTTCTGCTAAAAGTCTTTTTAGAGTTTGGTGATTCCTGACAAGTTTATTCATATTCTTCGAGTGATGAACACGAATATTGACGGAAATCGGAAAGTTCCTTATGCTTTAACAGCTATCAAGGTATGAAAATGGCATGATTGGTTATCGCCTCTCAGTTTAGCATAATACAAGCTTGACGTTTGGTGAAGCTGTCGGTGTAAAACATTGTTCTTCTAACTCTTCTGTATCCGCTGTCCACCGATTTAACTTTCACAGCTAATGGCATTTCGTGTTAATATCTTTGTATTTTTGCTTGAAGATGTTACAGGATGTACACTATACTAAACTTTAGCAAAATTTTGTCTTGAAAAATTAACATTAAACAAGAATTATCTATAAGTAGCCCAAAAGACACTATGGTCAGTTCGGTGACTGACCAGTACCGACGTTTCGGTTCCTGTCTCACGGGCCTTCTTCAAGGTAGGTTAAGTTTCGTGAATCTGGT